GTTAATCCAAACGTGCAAGTCATTAATTGACGACGCTTTGAAGTTACGCTAAAGATACGAGGACGTGTCTTTTCACTTGATTCGATTCCTCGGTCCTTCAGTCTTTTCCTTGCGTCTTTCCCTCGTAACGTTATCCCGGTGGGGTGGAAACACGAGGAAAGAAAGCAAGGAAAGGAAACGAGGATGCACAAATAAGAAATGAAAAGCACCCGAGCTCTCAGAATATCAGCAGTGAACTCCGTCTCCAATCGGCGCACAGGGACAAAAATAAATAAATAGCCTAAATTAAACGCACTGTACTGTACAACTTTTTTTTTATTGTAGCCTAATAGAAAACGCATTGACACATCATTTCAACATGCTGCTATTTAGCCTACTACTAAATGCCTATTTCACTTAATTTTTTAGTAAATAGATAGAATAAGTCATTTACATTATAGCCTAATAATGTTTACATTTGTAGTTGTCCATAGCAACCCCAAAAACGTACCTGCTTGCCTTGCACATCTAATTAATGGGCACAGTTTTTCGACTATTTTTTATTTTTTGCTGTGGATGTTATTGAGCTTGTAGAAATCGGAAACAACACAGTTCTGCGACACAGATGATCCTTTATTGATATCTCTATCAGACAATACTTATTTTATATGCCAAAAGAAACAACAGGCAGTAAAAAAATATTAACATAAATATCTTAATGTAGGCATAGGCTATAGTCGCATGCTTTGGCAAACAGTTGAAAATTTTTTAATAAAAACATCATATCGTGCCTAAGCCTTGTAGGCTCAGTCACCCCCACAATTAGAAATTAAATTAGAAAAATAGATATGCCATCCCTCTTTGAGCGAACCTGACCAAGCTAAAGTGCATGTATGACAAGTGCCCCAATAACCCATGGACTTAGGATCATCCCCATTCCCCTCAAACTTGAAGCATAACGAAATACTACGCCATTAAATTTGCGACAAAGAAATTCTGGCAAAATAACCTTAGCCTCGGAACGTAAAAGCGAGGCCAACATGTCTAGAATAGAATAGGCTAAACCAATATGAACGTAAAGTTATCAGCTGACCGAACTCAAAAGTTTGTATTGAACATATTTGTAGCCTAAATAACATAGGCTAATTGGTTTAATATGCCTGACCTTAGGTCTAGTTTGATTTTTTCTTGGCACAATGCAGGAATAAAATAGCATCTACAGTGTCAGGATTCAGACGGGAGCGCCTGCATAGCCACTGCGCCCTGCTGCACTGAAGGAGCGCTCGCTCGCAGCACTTGTTGCTGAAATGCATAGAATTCTCTTGGAAAGGTTCTGTAATCGTGGGAATGCCTGTCCTTATTTCTCCCAAAAGGAAAGTAGGTTTTCCTCTGCTGATCCGTCTATACGGAAGTTTGTAGAGGAATACTTCTGTACACTTCATCCAGAATTAATGTATCCGATTCCTCCTCCCATTCTGTGAAGTCAGTCCTAGGCTTTTTCGTTGGTGCGCCAGCTATGAATATAAAATCAGTACAACCGCCCGCCACCCGCCCGAATTTAATTAAAATATTATTTTTTCGTAACGTCATCCGCCCGATCCGCGGTTTATCCGCGGAGTCCGCGGCTATAACCGCCAACCGCGCATCTCTAATTCACACATCCATTCCAAAATACCGGTAAATTCTGACATCATTCACCACAAATGAGCTTTAAACGGCTGCGCTTGTATTTGTAAACATTTGACTAAATTACAAACTCTGTGGATGATCAATATTGTGAACAACTTTCGCAGGATCACTTTCGCATGTCGAGATGTTATGTGCGTAAATATGTGCGTAAATATGTGTGTAATATGTGCGTGTGCAGGCGCTCATAGGCGCACGCAAAGCTTGAAGGTAAACAAACAACGGCTTATCATAAGCATCTCATCGATGATTATTTACACAGTTGGCATTAGGAAGAACATATAAACGTGATCTGACTAACTTCTAGCAGCTAAATGTGTCTGGAAAAATATTCAAAGGCTTTTATTCTCATGAACCGCGCGGACGTAAACGCGTCTGAATGTTGTGATTGGCTAAAGCAGGCGTCTCACGTCAGCACGTTCTAGACGTGCACGCGCTTATTACGGGAATCTTCCTTCTGCATTCACACAGCGCAGCATTCCGGCAAATTGCCGGTAATGTTACAACTTCTCTTTCCGGAAAATAGCCAGAACGAATTTACCGGTATTTTCAAAAAGGACCTGTTCACACATACAACCTTTCCGGAAAATTGCCGGTAATTTTCCGGAAAGGTCTGTATGTGTGAAAGGGGCTAATATCAGGGCTAAAATCGTGCAGTCTGATGTGAGGATGTACATAATGTGCAGGCATGTAAATGATTAAGACACTAGATGGACAGAGTTGCACACGCATCACAGTAGCTTAAAGCTGTCTGTAATTGTGGCACATGCCATAACCAGCATCTACACTGGTTTTCAACCAGTCCCAGCTTATTTTGCAACTTTATCAGCTCCAGGAACATGATCTACTGCTCAAATATAGCTGGATGCTATATTTTTTATGGGAAAAAAAAATAATTAGAGTAGGGTCTAACTCCACTAATGTTAATGATATTAGCCGTTTACATCCACCTATTTTTGAGCATTTTGGATATGTACATTAAAAAAAACAGTTGATGGAAACACCAAGATGCGCATACATTTTTAAAATGTGCATAAAAACGTATGCGCATAACTGAGTGAGATAAACTTTTTATTCGATAAGAAAAGATTCGCATAAACTATGATGGAAACACTTTTACCGAACAAATTCCTGTACGCACATTAAAAAGTCATGTGATTTTGTATTTAGAGATCATGTGATGATAAATCGTGTGTGAATGGACAAAACCAGCTGGCTGAACACATAGTAAAACATCTGAAATTTTATTTTGGGCATTCTAAAATGTCAGTATTAGTGTTATTATATTATTAATGACCTCCAAAACTGACAAGAGTGTCCGTGTTCCGCCTCTCACGTCTTTAAACACCACCACACGTCAATTGTGTGTCTACTTACTGTCTTCTGAGGCACAGGTCATTTATTAAATAATGATTAAAAAAAAAAAAATTTACACAGCTTCTACTACCACAGCAAATTCCCTTTTTACTTTTCATATTTGAGCCAGTTAATCAGGAAGTGGCGATTTTGTTGGATTGAAACCCTGCTTAATTCGCTTGTCTTTTATGTGATATTCCAGTTTTGCACACAAATTTAATTGACATCTTTGGATGGAAACATAGCTATTATGTCTGCAATGCTGTGCTGTTTTCTGCTTCTGAATATTTAGCATTGTAAGCTTTTGTAGGAAGTTTTGTTATCCTGTGCCACACTAACCAAATGACGTTATTGCCAACGTCAGCTTACATCACGTCAGAATTTCTGCAGACAGTAAAAATGCCACCAGGAAATTGAACCTTGGGGAAAATTGAATTCTAAGGGGACTGCCCTGGGGACCAGTTCCTGTAATATCTGGTGCAAAAGCTCCCATTATTATATAAATTGTAGATTTTAAAAATGTACTACCCCCGTCATGGCTTTTGTATCTTTCCTGAGTGTGCCAGCCTGAGATAGTTGGTTAGTAAAACAGTAGGTTCAAGTGGATCTTTTTCATTTGAGATTTCTTTTAGCACCCTCCTAACAGTAAGTACACAGAGATATTTGTTTTCTGGTCAATAAATGCTATTGAGACTCAAAGGCAAGTAATATTTCTTTTTCTATGTAGTTTCCTGCTGTTTTATTGGCTGCAAGCCCTTGGCAAACACTTAAAATTCAGAGTGGGCATGAGTGTTTTCCTTTATTCTTTATGATTTTCAAGAGGTAATAAATGTACTGGCTGGCTGATGAAATCATCCCCCTCCTTCAGTATAGTTGCATACTATTATTTATTATTTAAAAGCGTTTTTTTTTACCAACGATGAAACTAGTTATTGAAAGAAGGAAAATTGTTATGAATTAAATTCTATTTTACCTTCTCAACTAATATAAAGTATAGAACCGGTTATTATAATTTAGTGGTGTGTAAAACAAAAAAAAAAAAAAAAAGCTGAACTTTGGTTGTCCTTTCATTGCCGTTAGCACAGCTTTTTTTTTCAAGAAAAAAAAAAAATTGCCAAGGCTACATTATACTAGTGCTCTCACAGTGAGTTGAGGCTGTGATATGAGATGCTCAGGGTCCCATCCATATTTAATCAGTCTCCAATGTACTGAGATCTGCTGAGGCCACCACAGGCCTGAGGAAGGCTATTATTGGACTGGACAAGTTCAGTGTAGCACAGGATGTTTTTGCCCCTCCCAACTATACTGACCACCGTATCGCTGATGCCTCTAATACAGAGCACTAGGGCTAAAGGCTTTCTTGCAGGAGCTGTAACACCTCAGCTTAATTTTTAATGAGGTTATTTAGTCCTCTGTGGTGATTTTCCCACTAAATTAAGCTGTGTTGCAGCTGAAGTGACAACGAACTGTGATTTTTAAGAAGCTGATGCCCTTTGTGTTGATGGACATCCATATAATCACACTGAAACAACACACATAGCACAAATCAATAATGTGTTCATTATTTTCTTTAGACAGAACACTGAAAAACATTGCATATCCATATGAAGTGTCTAATGCAGACCCAGCAAAACATCCTAAAACGGAAAAGTTTTTGCACACCACACATTACATCCGGCATCCATAGATGGCACTTTGAAATCACACCAAAGACTTCTCAGAATTCTTGCACTATTCTGAAGTGTTCCCAAGTTTAACCATATACAAAATTCTGACAAGGGACATGCATGTTGCATGTTAAAGGCCAGCTTGTTTATGACCAGTGTGAGACCCATTTAAGTATGCCAGTGATCACAGTACATATATGATTCATACCTCATTACGGTAACTAATGGATGAGAAGGGAGTCATGCAAAACAAGGCAGTAATGCTTAATTTTGTTTAATTCTAAATATTATTTCTTTTCTTTTTTTAAATAGACTGCGTGGTCTGGGATGAAGTCTCATGAAGTCTTACATTGGAGCTGACGTTCACAGTCAGCGAAATCATCCTTTACCGATCCTCCAGCAGACAAAGACTTGCCCATTACCCATTAACATAGTCCCACTTCACTGCACTGTTTTACTCCCTGAACATGGCTAGTCGAAGAAAGTCTACAACACCCTGCATGATCCGACCAGATGACTTGGTGCCTGCAGATGACCCAGAAGAAACTGATTCTTGTGTTGATGGTGCAGAAGAGAATGGATCTTCACATGTATCTTCTAGTGAGGAATGGACGGATAGGAAGAGTTCTGTGAACTCTATGCAGGAAACAGCAGTGCTGGAGAAACCTGAAGTAAAAACACGTCCACAGCGAAAACCCCAGGGAGGTTACGAATGCAAATACTGTCCCTTTTCCACACAAAACCTCAACGAGTTTAAAGATCACGTTGACTCCAACCACCCCAATGTTATACTCAACCCACTGTATTTGTGTGCGGTATGCAATTTCAACACAAAAAAGTTTGATTCTTTGACAGAACACAATGAGAAGTGCCATCCTGGGGAGAGCAACTTCAAGTTTAAGAGAATCAAACTGAACAGTCAGACCATTCTGGAACAGACAATCGAAGGTTCAAACTGTGCAGTCATTTATGATCCAACCAGCCCTCAGTCAGGAGAGGACTTTGCTGCCTTTCCTCTGAGCAAATCCACTACTATTAAGCTAGGTAAGCCTAAAGCAGACAGTTTACGGTTGCAAGATGACAGTCCATTGGACAAACTTGCTCAAGATCTGCCGAAAAAGCAAATTACTGCAGTGAATGTGAATGGGACTGTAATCATCCCAGATGCAACACTTAAGGATGGGCTTTCTCATATAATGCCGTCCCTGCAACGGCCACCCAACTACAACTTAGTACCAAAAATTGCTGTCCCCTTGAACACTTCAAAGTACAACCCCTCACTGGATGATAACTTGACCCTCATCACCTCTTTCAACAAGTTTCCATACCCTACCCAAGCAGAGCTCTCTTGGCTCACTGCAGCCTCCAAACATCCTGAAGAACAAATTAAAGTGTGGTTCACTACCCAACGGCTAAAACAAGGTATCAGTTGGTCTCCTGAGGAGGTTGAGGAAGCTCGAAAAAAGATGTTCAATGGAACGATTCAGCCTGTTCAACAGGCATTCACTGTCTTGCCTGCACAGTTATCTCAGTCCACTAAAGCTTCACAGCCCCTTATCCAAACCGTCCCTTGCCATGTTCTTGGACAATCTGGTCTAGTGCTGGCACCTGTTGCCAATGGCTCAACTGCAACCAGTGCTTCTCTTGCACTATCAGTTGCAAATCAAATAGCACAGGGTGTCAAGAGGCCCCACACAGCACCACTTGTTGCCCCAGAGATAAAGAGGCCTTCGATAATCCAGTCCGTTCAGAGTACTCCCAAGTCTGTTTCTCCGACACCAAGCTTTTCTTCAGATAGTGAGAAAACCCCTGATCAGATCAGAGAGCTGACCGCCAGCTATGCTCAGTGCCAGTTTCCTGATGACGAAGAAGTGTATCGTCTCATCGAGACAACTGGCCTCTCCTGGGGAGAGATCAAAAAATGGTTCAGTGATCAGCGCCATGGAAACCATAAGGCAGTGCAGCAGATTAAAACAGACCTCTCTTCGAAGGACAGCCAACCGCATAAGCCTGTCGCCACACAATTTCCACTACTAGAGAGAGTCAAAGGCAAATCCTCTGAGCAAATGAAAAAGTTAGAGGAGAGTTTCCAAAGGACTAGCTTTCCGACCCAGGCTGAGATGGAGCACCTTGTGGCAGATACCAGGCTCTCCAAAAATGAAATCGACTGCTGGTTTACGGAGCGGCGTGCACTACGAGACAACCTAGAGCAAGCCTTGCTTAACTCAATGGGCTCAAAAAGGCTGGAGCATCACCTTCCTATGGGGTCATTGAATGGATTCCATGAGCAGGACGGCAGAGTCAGGGACTCACCGCTTCCGATTCTTGCATCCCCAACGTGTCCAGAGGCCATAGATAGCAAGTCTCTCTGCCTTCTTAAAGACATGTTTGCACAAACCCAGTGGCCATCACCAGAAGAGTACAACCAACTAGAAGTTCAAACAGGGTTAGCACGTACAGAAATTGTCCGCTGGTTTAAGGACAACAGATCTGCTCTGAAGAACGGAACCTTAGATTGGATGGAGCAATTTCAAAGTCTTAGCAGCAAGAGACCCAATGGACAAAACAGTTCACTGACCTCAGAGCAGGCTCAGAATGTCCTACAAAGGCACTTTCAAGATTCAAAGGTACAAAGGGGGGATGGTTTTGAGAAGCTTGCAGAGCAGTCAAAACTAACCAACCAGGACATAGTGGAATGGTTTACTAGTAAGCTGGGCCACAACATGCCTGATATCAGCAAGAGTAAGGACCAACATGGACAGGCAAACATAGATGGCAAGAAGTGGGTTTCCTTGGCAGCTGACATTGATGGTAAAGACTTTGATGCACAGAAGGTGGGCCGAGACCTTGAAGTGCTGTCGGCAGAGCACAGAGTGACTGGATGAAGTTATAAAGGTAATAATCCTGTTTTATTCTTACTAGATATTTGAATGGAGAAGGGACGAGAGAGAGAGAGAGAGAGAGAGAGAGAGAGAGATAGATAGATAGATAGATATATAGATATATATATATATATATATATATATATATATATATATATATATATATATATATATATGCTTTCCCAGAGTAATAGCTGCTGCTTGTGATAATGTAGCAGATGTGGTTAGAAGACAGCCGGGATGTCTGCAGTCTGTAATTTAGCCTTTAGAAAAACAGCTTGGCAGCTAAAGAGAGGGCAGAGCCCAAATTCTGTATTAGTTGGGAGGAGGGCAGTGTGTCAATTTTGGATTTCTTTCAAACTCTCATCCATAATTCATATGAGTCAAGTGGCATTTGTTGCTTCTTTTGTTGCAGAAGGAAAAAGGCTGCTATGACTGATCTAGACGGGCCTGATGATTAAGGAATGACCTCGGTCATCGTATATGGAACCAATGATCTCATATTTGGACTCTGAGATTATTAGATGTGAGATGGACTAGGAGCATCTGTGAAACACTGTCCAGAGAGTGACCATGGAGTGCCAAAGTTTGACTGCTATGTTGTTAGAATTATGTTTATTTTATAAAAGGGCCCTTGTACATATTTTTTTCTGTACTTCAACAGATTTGTAAAATTTTTTGAAGATGAGACTTTTGTTACGTTTATAATAGGAGTCCTAAGACATTTCCCTTGACCCTTATAACGGAATGTTCAATCATTATTGTGAGAGGACACAAAACCAACCCACCTGCTGGTGAAGCTGGTAAAAAAACACAATGTGGTCCATGATGGCACTTAATATTTCAAGTGGACACATACAAGCGGTGCTTCAGTAAAAACCATCTCATTCCAGAAAACGAGGTGATATTATGGACTTTTCTTTTTTTTTTTTTTTTTGGACCATGAACACATTGCCTGCACTCTCATACTGTACCTTATCGCCAAGGGGACAGAGCCACATGGTGGACATAATCATAATGAACTGAAATCAGTACAATACAGTGATGCACAGCACATGTTTATTTGTAGTTCTAGGCTAATGTTTGGCAATATTACAGTAACTGCAAAATTATCCTTATCATGTTGGCTTTTCCTGGTATCCAAGGCGTAGTTCCATTTTCACTACTCAGCTGTGAACTGCTTTCAGCTCGCTTAAGTGTATTTCTTTTTCCTGCAGCTGCTTTAGTGTCATGTTCAGACATGTATCAGGAATACTGTACTGCTACCAAGAATCCTGCTTGCTCTTTATAAGAACCAGTCTGCTGTAATTTAATAAAACACAACTGATTGAAAGGCTGGTCCGAGTCTTACTGTTTACACAGCACTGTCAAAGTCAAAATGCAAACTGCAAAGCTCAGATTCATTCCAAGCTGCTAACTTTCTTACATTAAATTTGTCTTTAAGGCGCCTTGATCCTGAGTGTGTCCCTCAAGACACTGAAATCAAAGTACTGAGCTGCGGTTTATTTGTTGCATCAGTCATTAAATGTAAACTGAACATTTTAGTAAAGCTTGTGGATTAAAACAGTATTCATCTTTATTTAACAAGGATTTTGGCAAGAGGTCACCATGTTTAACTTTGATGTGACTTTCACACCATTACATAGCAGATGAACAAAGGTATCTGGATTTTATAAAGCACCTTTATCAAAACAATGTGTTGAGGGATGTAATATAATATTAAATTAATGTGTCACAGTGCATATTACGATATTATAGCACTGAAAGGCCATAAATAGAACTACCAGTGTACAAATAATTACAAAACCTAAGTTTCTGGTTTGGGAAAACTGACTGCATGTTTATGTAACACAAGGTAATTGTTAACTTAATCATCATTAATAGGTGAAAAGTGCATGGCAGTTTACTGAAATCAAGCCTGGCAGCTAAATGTATAAAACAAACCTATGCATCTAAATGTATAAAACAGACTGAAATATGCACAGCAATTTCATCTGTATGTTCTGATTGGTAACCTTGTTAATTCACAAATATAAAGCACAAGCAATGCTTAAGACAAATGACATAAAATTTAACCTATCAATTTAGACAAATGAGGCAAAAAAAAAAAAAAAAAAAAAAACTAGATTGAAAATCAATAACAAAGTCCTAAACAACCATGCCAACAAACGATCTACACTGAGCCATAAAGAAATAGATCAGCTACATCTGACTGTGAGCAAGTGAAATGAAGCTTACCTACTCAGGTTGATGCGGTCATATTATGGGAAACACGATCAAAGTCCCCTGAATTTCCTACCTACACCAACTCTGCAACAGCGCATATTTTTGCAGAGCTTCTGTACACACTGCGAAACTTAATAACAGTGTGATATGACATCAAGAATAAGAGGAAAATGTGTAAATGCTGGAACAGAGCCCTCGTCACTT